TTATTCTTTTATGTCTTTGTTTAATGCATTTGAAATCATGGGAGAGGGATAATTTCCAATGTCTTAGTTATTATTTATTTAATTTCAATGTCTTAATTATTTAATGCATTTTACCTTTACTCTGATTTTATGTAAATAAATGATAAGTACAAACACTTTTAACTCTCTCAACCACAGCAAGTAATTAGGTATTTGACTCTAATTTTTATATAGAATTTATCAACTTATGGTGTTTGTTTGTTAAGAGTAGTAAGGATTGTGTTTGCTAAGGTTGTATAGATCATTGACTAAAGTACTTTATTGGGGCTTTTTGTTAAACACTGGCACTAAAGACAAAAAGAATACTGTTTCTTTAGGTGTCCATCATAAATTTAGGAGACATAGAACTGATTTTTATACCTCTTTTAATAAGGGCAATGTGCGCCTGTGTGGTAGTGCTGTCTGCTGCTCTTTTGGTTAGTTAGCATTAAAGGTTAAGTAGAACACAGTCTTATGTAATGAATTGGTGTTTGTTTTTGAAGAAAATGTTTATGGTAGTAGAGGCCTCTGTACAATGGATATGTATAATTTAACCTGTAAATTTTTAAATAGTATTGTGATTAAAGTGATTATGACTTCATAATGAGGAAATGTGATAAAATATCTTTATTTTATGTTACCTTTAATTTTATAAATGCATGTGAATGTATAAATAACATTTGCAAAGAAAGTAAAGGCAATTCTTCCTCATAATGACAGTATAATAAGGAAAAGTGATATTAACATATTGTAATGTCTTTAGATTTATCTTCCAGGAATTATTGAAGTTGATATGGTACCATATTGTTTCAATTTGTTCAATATGATTTTTCATAATATTTAAAAGAAGTTATTAGAAAATTTCAGGTCATTGAACTTTATTGTAGTTTTAAAAGCTTTTTATTAAACTTATGAATCCATAAATGCTGTAATTCAGTATACTGAACCTTGATTACAAAATTTATTCATAACAGTGATACAAAAGATGTGTTTATGTTTGAAACCTTGGTAAACCCAGTTAAGTTTTTATTTTCTAAATTCCATTTACTCTATAGGTAATAATTTTACATTTCATTAGTTATTGGGAGATCAAACCAATGCAGAGATGGCCATGGCCATTAAGAAGCTGTGTTGTACTATGAGAATTAATGGTACAACTACTAGTCGAACAGTACTCTATACCTTGTGTGTCTGTGTGGGTGAGTCTGTTGAAATCTTTACTTAGTATATGCTAAGTTGATCTTCTGTGTATAAAGATAATTGAAAATGAATCTTGATGAAGAATGGGATGGGAGAGGGAGTGGAAGATGGGATGGTTGCAGGTGGGAGGGAGGTTATGGGGGGAAAAAGCCACAACAATGCAAAAGTTGTACTTTGTAAATTTATACTTATTAAATAAAAAAAGAAGCTGAAGATGGGAGTGGGCATTTGGCCTGGCAGTTAAGCCACTGGGGAGTGTAGATTCGGTATTAGATGCCTGGGTTCAAGCCTGAGCTCCACTGCTAATCCCAGCTTCCTGCCAGTGTGCACTCGTGGAGGCAGCAGATGATGGCTCCAGTGTTAGGGTCCCTGTTGCCTGTGTGGGAGACATAGATTGAGTTCCCAGTTCCTGGCTTTGGCCAGGTCCAGCCCCAGCTATTGCAAGCATTTGGGGAGTGAACCAGTGGATAGGAGGTATCAGCCTGTCTGTATCTCTGCCTTTCAAATAAATAAAGTAGGTAGAAAAATTAAAAAAAAAAAAGCTGAAGATAAAATAGTAAAGTCATATAAATACTCATAAACAGATGCTGACCATGTAGGCTGATATTTGGCAAGAGGAATACTAGGTCCTAAACGGAAGAGGCTGTCAGGGATGTGTGTGTGTAAAGCAATGTTACAGGAGGAGGGGTCCCACAATAAAGATGGACCCAGCTCTGCAAAAGACCTCAAAATGGCTACTGTCATTGTAAGTGGAGAATGAAGTGTGCAGAGAAATGTAGAATCAGGAAATGTAGATAGCATTCAGGCATTGAAAAATCTTTCTATGGAAGCTAGATAATTCTTTGAATTATTTTTTTAGTTGATTTGAAAAGCCAAGGATGAGAGAAACAGACAGAGCTCCCATGCACTGATTCATGCGTGAAATCACTGCAATAGCTGGAGTGCAGTCAGGCTGAAGCTGGTAGCTGTGACCTCAGTGCAGGTCCCCTGCCTGGGTGGCAGGAATTCAGTTACTTCAGCTGTCACCTGCTGCCTTCCAGAGTCTGCATTAGCAGGAAGCAGGAGACAGGAGCCTGCGGCGAGTATTTAACCCAGGTACTGCACGTGGCATGTGGGCATCTCAACCGCGATGCCATACACCTACCCCAGAATGTGAATGATTCTGATACAGTGACTGCAGATATTTTATCTTTCCCTCATTTATCTGGAAAGCTCTCACTAGGAGTAAGAGGTCTTATCTCTGATTTTATATTTACTCCAGGTCATCCCATTTAGTGTGTACATGTCTCCTCATATCTATCATGTTTATACTAAAGAAATTAGGACAGATATATCTGTCCTAAGTTTAGTATTTGTACCCAATGGAGGTCTGATTGTTTCCATTAAGCATTTAGGAAGAACAGTGATGGGCATAATTTTTTTCCTGAGATATTTTCTTTGGTTAAAGCCTTTGAATACTTGCTAAGGACATATAGAGCAGAGTCATTTTTTTAAATTTTTAATGCTGATGAAAATAATTGTGTAAGGAATATTTCAATATACATAAACTTTGAAGACATTCTAGTAATGATAGGCAATACCTTGACATTAATGCTTTGAAGTACATAGGTTCACTGCCTGCTCTCAATCATTATGGTTCATAATATTCTCATTAGAGCAGAATTCTTCAATGGGCTTGTATATAAATGAAAAAATAGTAAGAATGATGTTAATGAAAACATTTAGAATAAAATAATGCAAAAAAGTATTATTTGTTGTATCTACCTTGAAAAAATCTTACATCTGAGGAAAAAGACATTTTAATTAGTAAAATTTCAAGAGCTAAACTCTCTGGTTATGTTTTAAATTTTCTTCAACCAAAGACTTACAAGAAAACTGATGCTTTAGGAATGGCTCACATATAGAATGATATAAATTCAAATTCATGGGACAAGAAGGGAAATTCTGTTGGGAATGTAAATTAATACAGCTGATAAGGAAAACAATATGGCAGTTCCTTAAAGAACCAGAAATAGAATTATCATTTTTACTTCTATATGTATAGCCAAGGGAATTGAAATCAATGTTAAAGAAATATCTGCACTTCCAGATCTCTGTAGCAGAATTCCTAAGAGCCAAGATATGATATGGACTCAAGTGCCCATTGACAGCTAAATTAATTTTAAAAATGCACATTTACACAATGGAAAACATACTATTCTACCTTAAAAAAAGAAATTCTGTCATTTCTGACAACATGAACAGCAACAAAAAAAGTGTGTAAGGTGATGGAAGTGTTAATTAATTGATGTATTTTTTCTACAATGTAAAGATTTATAAAAACATTGCATTGTATCTAGGAAATATATACAATTATCATTTGCCAGTTAAATTAAATTTTAAAATTTAATTAAAATTCAATGGTTATAATAAATCATCAATAAAATATTATAATGCAAATCTCAAGTTTTATAAGATTTGGAGCAAAATTTAAACTATTTATGGATGCATTCTTGAAGCACTTTCCATTTTTGTTACATACTTCTTCAAGGAAATGACAGTAATTTACTTGATCAATTTGCATATCATGGGAAAGATAAAATGAAGGGTTCATAAGTTCATATCGTATTTCTTACTGTTTAGTTAGGTAGTTTTGGTTTCAAAAACCAACAAATAAAACAGAGTGTGATTCAAATGGTGAGTGGACCATGAAGTTAAAGGCTTAAGTGCAGTTTAAAAATAAAGAAAAAAAATAGGAACCCAAATAAAGGTATATTGTAAAAATCACTTGAATACCACAGCATGGTAGTATGAGTAGCTGTACAACTGAGACTCCCTCAGTGGATGCATGTCTGGGCCCCAAACAGCAAGCAGGAGTGTAGCATTAGGCAAGTTCTGTTCTTCTGCAAAGTGTCCATAACAATGTTACTTTCTGGAGCTGTAAGCATAAAAGAGACAGTGGGAAAGCACTGGGTGTGTCTGCTGATGAACTGTAGCTGCCGCCTTCTCCTCCTCTGCCCATTCATCATCAGTACCCTGGGTATACTGACCTTAATTAGGTTCATATTTGGTCTATGATTCTGAATCTCTCAGTCTGAATTCTCACTTCTCTCCAGATTATCAGTTCACTTACCTTTCATTCAAGTCTCTTCTTCAATACATAGCAGCACAGTTCTTTCTGAAGTTCAATTTGTTGAAATCCCTATTCTATAGCCTTTTTGACGTAGTTTCTTCTCTTAACTAACTTCAAACTCCAAGGAGAAGAATCTGTGCCCGTTAGTTGTTCAATGACTGGAGATCTTAGTCTCACGCCATACTCTTGTCTGATGTGTGGTTCTGTTGAGTGTCTGGGACTGGCTGAGTCATGTGTTATAAAACAGTGCTGCTGGCAGGGTGTTTGCAGGAGGGCAGTGATCCTGGCTGTCTCATGCCTGTTACATCTAAATAAACAAGCACAGTAAGTTATGATTCAGCTGTTTACCAAATAATAGAACCAATTGTGAATAGTAAGGCTGGGTCTCAAAGAATGATCTTGTGTCCCCAAACCTAACACTTTTAAATAAAATTTAAATATTTTGCTAATCTTGATGTTTTTGCACTGTTGCAAAATTTCCATGCAAATTATTAGATCATAATAAGCATATACTCTAAACTTACCAATTCAAAACATCTCTATTAAGTCTAAAATATTTATTGTTTTAATATTAACCAAATGCTGCTCTATGTCTTAAAAATAATGATTTGTTGTTAACATACCTTATTTACAATTTAGTCTAATGTCTTTTTGTTTTAACTGTTCTCAGGCTTCGAAGTTGGATATCACAGTGCAAGCCTGGGGGTCCCAATGGGGGACTCAGGATCTAGAAGATCTACCCTGGTTTCCCGGTTGCCAATATTCAGAAGGAGTATTAGCAGAAGAAATGATTCTCTTCCTTCTTCACCCTCTTCTAGCAATACAGTTGGTGTGCACAGTTCCTCTCCTTCCAGCACAAACTCAAGCTCAGGAAGCACAGGGAAACGCAGAAGCATATTCCGTGCTCCTTCCATTAGTTTCCACCACAAGAAGGGGAGTGAACCTAAGCAAGAACCTGCCAACCAGAGCCTTAGTATTTCAAATGGTGCTCAACCTGGCCACAGCAACATGCAGAAACTGAGTTTAGACGACCATATTAAAACCAGGGGAAGACATTCTGTGGGTTTTAATAGTTCACGAAATAAGAAGATAACAAGATCTTTGACAGAGGATTTTGAACGAGAAAAGGAGCACTCAACTAATAAGAATGTCTTTATAAATTGTCTAAGTTCTGGCAAAAGCGAAGGGGATGATTCGGGGTTTACGGAAGAACAGACTCGACGTTCTGTTAAGCAGTCAACCAGGAAGCTGCTCCCCAAGTCTTTTTCATCACACTACAGATTTTCTAAGCCGGTTCCACAGAGCCAATCCGTTTCTTTGGTTCAGCAGCCTGAATTCTCTTTGGAGATTACGGAGTTCCAAGAGAGAGAACCTGTGTTAGGAAGAGCGTCTCCATCTTGTTCTTTGGATGTCACAGAACAGGCAGGAAGCTCTTTACAGTCTCCTTTGCTTTCTGCTGATCTCACCACAGCTCAGACACCTTCAGAATTTTTGGCCTTGACTGAAGATTCCGTGTCTGAAGTGGACGTATTTCCTAAAAGTGGAAGCCTGGCATCCCACTGTGACAACTCTGACCACAATGAGTCTACCTCTCAGTTCTCTCCCAATCCCGCTGCTGTTACAAAGACAGCAGTAGAACTCACGGGAACAGTTCCCTGTGCGAGTTTGTCTCCTGGGAAATACAGGTTAGAGGGTCGGTGTGGCATTGAATCTCAGTCGTTACCTGAAACCTCTGCTGCTAGTCAGAAAGAAGTGTTATTGCAGGTCACTGAACTGCGCGGTAGGAATGTGAGCAACTCAGAGACTCGTCTACCCGCAGATACGCTTAGAGAGGACAATATGGTGTTACACAATGGGGAGGCAATGCTGGGCACAAGCTCCCCAAGGAAACGGGGCTTCTATGAGCAACATAAAGCAATAGCTGAACGTGTTAAAGGGATCCATCCTATTTCCGATTCAAAGATAATACCCTCCTCTGGTGATCATCATATTTTTAACAAAACGTCATATGGATATGAAGCAAATACTGCCAAAGGTATGCTGATTTTCTTTGTAAAATAAGTTTTATGAAATGATTTTCATTGTAATGTATTCTATTGTCTTCCTCCATCTCATGAATAGCAAGCACACTTGCCTTGTTTTTCACCACCTAGATTCATTCGTATTTAGAATTTAGTTTAAACTTTTATGCAACTTGGTTTTGAACTTGCCTCAATTGTGTTATGCTGAAATTATAATTCAGTAACATTGTTTAGTTTGCTTGTTGTGTTACTGGGACTCTGACTCTGAGAAGAAAGTAGAAGGAAACTACTTCTATTTGCAGTGTGGGTTTATCTAAAATAAGAACTACCATTTTTAGAGTTCATTATGAAAGTATCTGTATTTCTTAATGAAATGGATATATTGCAGCCAAAATCACCATAAAAATAATTTGTATAATTTAAGTTCTATTTCCTGTGTTAACAGTGGTTTCATTACTGACCAAGATCTGTGCATCAGCATAAACAGTTCCTTTCTATTGATACAAAGAATTTCAAGATTTAAAAATCCTGTCCTTTGGAGCCTAAAGGCCCTGCCTGCTTCTAGTAGCCCTGCCACTGAAATGAACTAGATATATAGATGTATAATCCAGGACATCAAACCTTGTTGTGTAAAAAAAAAAAAAAAAAGTGTGTGCACCAATCATTCCAGTCTGGCTCAAGAAAATTCTGTTATTTAACATAAAATTCAGTTCAAGCAAACTTTTGAATGTATATTATCTCCTGGGCTTTATTAGATATTATTTTTAATTCTTTGATACCATTACTGCTAGCAATTGTTGTTATGTTACTGCTGCTATAACTACTACTACTACTACTAATGGTAATTATCCTAATACTGAAAATGATCACTGTATCCCAAATACTTTTCTGTGTACTTTGCACACATTAATTTAAAAAATGACCTAAATTAGGACTGGTATTGTGGCATAGCAATGCCAGCATCCCATATGAGAGCTGATTTGAGACCTGGCTGCTCCACTTCAGATGCAGCTCCCTTTTAATGGCCTGAAAAAACAGTGGACGATGGCCCAAGTATTTGGGTACCTGAGAGACTTGGAAGAAACTCCAGGCCTTTGGCTTCAGCATAGCACAACACTGGCTGTTGTGGCCATTGAGGGAGTGAATCAGCAGATTGAAGATTCTCTCTCTCTCTTTCTCTATAACTCTGCCTTTTGAATAAATAAAAAATATTTTTTTTTAAAATGACTGAAGTTGGGGCCAGCACTGTGGCATAGCAGTGTTAAGCTGCTGCCTAGATCCGACTGCTCTACATTGGATCAAGCTCCCTGATTATGTGTCTGGGTTAGTAGTGAAGATGGCTCAAGTGCTGGGTCCCTGAATCCATGTGAGAGACCCAGAAGCTCCTGGCTTTGGCCAGTTTGGCTGTTATGGCCAGATGGGGAATGAACCAGCAGATTGAAGACCTCTTTTTCTTTAACTTTTCTTTAAAATAAAATAAACCTTTTTTTTTTTTTAAGAGTGAAATCACTACTATTATTATAAGCTATTTTGCAGGCAAGAAAATTGGAGCACAGATAAGTTACATGTTCTAAGTCACAAAGTGAATTAGTAATTGACTAGCATACTAATTCCATGAAGTAGGGTAGAATGTTTCCTTTATTCACAAGTGTGATCTAAGCCCACAGTTTCATCCAGCTGGCAAGTAGCATAGCTTAATTGTAACTATGGGAATCCAAAGCTCAGGTTCTTAACCATTATGCTGTATTATATATTCTTACCTTAACTAGTAAATAGAATTCAAAATAAGTTAAGTGGAAGAATATCAAGAATCATAGAATTATGTGATTTATATAAGTAGTCCATCTATGCTGATGGCCGTTTTCAAGTTTTAAATGCAAGAATTCATTTCCCAGATGTCTTAAAATATTTTGTGTATTGATACACAATCACTGTTATGCACCTTGTTACTTTTTTCTTTTTTTTTAACTTGATTGCCATGTCCATACTCTTGATTTGTTATATCTACAAATAACTAAAATATAATAATGAGAATGATAATGATGATGATGGTTGTGGTTACCTTTTTAAAGTGTACACTAAATGTAACTAATGTGCTAAGAAATTTGCATGCTCTATTTCATTTTAATCCTCACAAAATTTTTATGTGGTAGTTTATGACAGTTTATTATTAAGTTAAGTAACTTTAAAAGGTCATATTTTTAGCAAATGAAGGACCTCAGAGTGGACTTCTTTTTTATAGATACGACACACAGGAAAGGTAGAAATGCTGTTTTCCTGATAAATCTAATCTTATTTAACAATGACAACTTTTTTCAATGTCTAATTGAATACTATGTATTTTTATCTCTATGGAAAGTAGGGAATTACCAATTATCCTGGTGAAAATTTATCTACTGTTGTGATTCTAACTGTAAGCCATTGAACACATTAAAGTAGTTTCACTGATTTGACAGTGCGTTGCCTGTTTTTGGTGATATCAACAAGGAAAAGATGATAGTATACTGTCCTTTGTTCTGTGGGAATATTTATGTGCTACTTTTGCAAATTTTACAGTTTGGAAGTTTAAAATTTTAAAACCAATTAAGTAATTGTATTTTATGCAAGAAAGAGTGGCTGTACACACTAATTTGTAATTCAAAATTTATTTTATATTATAAAGCATTGACGCTAGTACTTAATGCATATCTGAATGTATTAGATACACACTAATATCACAATTAATAATAGAAATAACTTTCATTTTTTTGCTTAAAACACTGTTTTAAGACCTCTGCTATGTTTTGCAACAATAAATTTCAACCCAAAGTCTTTAAACTGGTAGATGAAGTTAAATAGAGCAGTTCAGTCATTTATTCTATAAGTGTTTGTTGTTTTAGCACTGTTTTTAGCAGAAAGGATACAAAGCAGACATCATCCCTAACATCATGAAGCTTGCTTTCTACTGGTCACAGATACTCCGACAGTAAACATACAAATAAATACACGTGAGATGACGATAACTGATGAGGTCAAGTGTGAGGCAGAATGAAGTGTTAGGAAGAGAGAAGGGAAGGTGGCTGTTTGCATTTTTAAATTTGATGAGCTGGCTGCTACTCAAAGTAGCATGTTAGCCATGAGTTGAAGGACCTCAGGGAGTAAGTGATACAGATGTTTCAAAGAAGTGTTTTGGTATAGGTGAGTCAAAGGCTGTGCGGCTGGAGCATGCCAGATATGCTCCAGGAACAGCACGAGATCCAGTGTGGCATTAGCAAGATACAGGAAGGGGAGGGCAGCAGAAGATGGGGTTGCAATAGTGAACAGGTGAACAGGGCAGCCCTCGGAGCAGGGGTGAGAGCTGAATCACAAGAGGAGCTCATTTGAAAACATCAGATTTATGACCTGAGGTGTGAACTTCAGCCATCTCACCGTGCTGTAAGTATATTATTGTGGTTACCGGGCAGAAACTAGGTTTTGTGGTGGGGAAGGAGGTGGTGAGGTAGGTGGGAGTAGGCAGAGGTGAAAGAATCTTAGGAAGTATTGTGAGAACCCTGGCAAGCGAGGCTGGGTTTGACCCAGGCTCTTAGTTGTGGAGATAGCAGAGAATGGTCAGACTTTGCACACAATAAGGAAGAAAGAAGGCTGTGTTTTTGTGACTAATGTGAGCTGTGAAGCAGCCCAGGAGAACTCCAACAATTTTAGGCTTCGGAAAGAATATGTGACTAAGAAAACTCAAGTTTTCTGTAAATTTAAAGCTTTTCTGGTAATAAACAATTGCGAATGGCACTGTTTTCCATTCTTTTGCAATGGAACATGTATAAAAACTGTCTTCTAGTACTCTTACTTACTTCTTTTTCTTTTAATAGTTCTTGCCAGCAGCCTCAGTCCCTATCGCGAAGGGAGATTCATAGAGAGGCGGCTGCGGTCATCCTCGGAAGGAACCGCAGGGAGTAGCCGGATGATTGTGAAACCCAAAGATGGAAATGCAGAAGAAGTTCATAGTTTGAGAAAGCAAAGAACGGGCTCCTCATCTTCAAAAATGAACAGCATGGTAAGTCTGTACATGTGCATGATGAAATAACGCTGTGCCTTTGTGGCATGTACTTGTGTTTGCCAAATGGACACAGACGAAGGCTAGACCCTCATTCTTGAGGGCAAGTTGGTCTCCATAGTTGATGTCACGAATCAGAGAGGCTGATGTTTTACACAAGATGTGTGTGGGTCAGAAGCATGATGTGAGAGCTGGCCTCAGTTCCTTCCTTCCTTCCACAGGAAGTTTGATGTTCTCTGTTGCAGAGCAACACTCTGGGACGTACAGGATAAGAACAGTGGTGATCATCATGTGACTTTTAGACCCTGTCATTTCACACTCTGTCTCCACCCTGTGGCTACTCTAGAAAACGTCCTTTTGAAGACCATGCTTATATCAGTACCATCCTTATACCCTTTACTAAACCCTACTGTGGCTGTCCTATCAAAGAGCCTCAACACACAGGGTGAGGAGCTGGTGTGATACTCAGACCTTGAACACACTAGAGATAACCAAGAAGCCAGATTCTGGCTCTGCACAGCCTGGTTTTCTGGTGAGGGTGAAAGTGTGGTGTATGGGGGTTGTGTATGCAGATAGGGTCGGAACTCGCACTCGTGTCCTGGGGTGGCAGTGGTGCAGCTCCCTCACATCACCAGATGGAGTTCAGGGTGGGAAGACCTCAACCTGGGGTCTACAAGTCCTCAGATCTCACAAATACCAGGGTGAATTTGCCTTTTGGACTTTGTTTTGTTTACTTTCTCACACGAGTCCTTTGTCAGCAATGAATTTAACTATTAAAATGTGTCTTCAAAATTATCTATCTACTCACTAGTTGCCTAGTTACTTACCCAACCGTGGACATGTGTAAAACTGATTAAAAAATAAATCAACCACGATATACCTATGTACTGTAGATAATTAGGCTTTTAATAGAGCTATTAGGTCATTGAGCACTGATCATTGTATTGTGGTGACCTCTCCCAGACAGTGAAGTAACACCACAAGGAGCAGAACTATCATGCTTGAAGATAGAAGTTATAGTTCTTATTCTGAATTACCATTTCTTAATACTGGGCAAATTAGTAACAGCAAAACAAGAAATGATAATGAATATCTTATTTCTTTTAAATTAAGAAATGATTGTGTATGTGCATTTGTTCATATAGATAGCTCATTTTTTTGTTTTATTTTGCATTGAAAATTTTATTGTTGCAACTGATAATTTTGTCTAAATAGCAGAATATGTTAAAAAATTTTCCAGTAAATTAACATTAAAAATTAGAGCTAATGAAGTATTAGGAAACATTAATCTTCAAAACATTTCTGTTGTTTTTTCATAGTTAGGTTGGGTTTTTTTGAAGATTTATTTTTATTTATTTGAGAGAGTTACAGAGAGAGTCTTCCATCCTCTAGTTCACTCCCCAAATGGACACAAAGGCTGGAACTGAGCCAGTCTGAGGTCAGGAGCCAGAAGCTCTTCCAGGTTTCCTACTTGGATTCAGGGGCCCAAGCACTTGGGCCATCTTCTGCTGCTTTTCCAGGCCGTAGCAGAGAGCTGGATCAGAAGAGGAGGAGCCGGGACTAGAACCAGCAGCCATATGGGATGCTGGCACTTCAAACTGGGGCTTTAACCTGCTGCACCACAGCACTGGCCCCTATTTTCTCAGCTTGCCCCAAGTTAAATAAACTCTATTATATATTCTTTTGTATCTTACTTTTTAAAAAAAGATGTATCTTATTTGTTTGAAAGAGTGATAAATGGAGGTGGGGCCATAGAGAGAGAGGGAGATATCTTTCATCTACTGGTTCATTCCCTGTCGCTCCCCATTCGCAGAGGAACGACACTAGACCCTGCGCTGTTCTTTTGTCTGCTCGGCCCTTCCCTGGTTAGCTGCCGTTCCCTCATTCGCGGAGGAACAACGCTGTCCCGGGTTAGCTGCCAGCCCCTCCACCTCCGTGGAGGGGCGGCACCCCCCGCTGCTTTCCCCGCTTCCGCGGAGGAGCGGCACACCGCCGGCCGGCTCTCTCGGGGGCTGCTCAGATGTTCCTCAGGTGTTCCTTCAGATATTCCTGGTGCATGTTGTCTCTCTCCTCCTTTATAGTCCTCTTCCACCAATCCCAACTCTGCTACCCACACGCTGAGCACGCTGCTCTCCTCCAATCAGGAGCAGGATCAGCTCCTGCAGCTCATTAGTCAAATTGGCGAAGGAGCTGTGTAGAAGTTTACTCCTCCCCAGCGCCATATTGTGGGAGAGCAGATGCATAGAATAAGTCTTAATTCCAGTAACTTAGTCTAGTCTCAGTTGCTCCCCACAATTCCCCCTTTCTTTTTATTCTAAGGCGTTGATACGCGCCTGTCTTCAGTGCCCCGCGGCACACACTCTGCCCTGCTTTCTGGAGTTGCCCACAGGTGCTTACAAGCCCTACCAAACAGGCAAACCGAATCCGGGTCCTCTCTTCGCCATGTTGTGAGGAGGTTTTTAGGCACTGATGTGTGCCTGTGTTCCGTGCCCTGCAGCGCACGCTGTGCTCTGCCTGCCCACAGGTGCTTACCGCCTTACTAATCAGGCAGACCGAATCCGAGCCTTCTCATTGCCGTGTTGTGGGGAGAATTATTGGTGTTGATAACGTGCCTGTCTTCGGTGACCTGCGGTGCATACTCTGCTAGCCGCCCGCAGGTGTTTACCGCCTTACTAATCAGACAGACCTAATCCGAGCCCTCTCATTGCTGTGTTGTTGGGAGGCCTTATTTTTCTGTATTTCTCTATCTCCAGGCATTCCTATTTCTCTTATTTTACTTCTATCTGCCAGCATTCCTATTTCTCTCATTTTACTTCTATACTTCTGTTTCTCTTATCCCCGCGGCTTCCTGGCGCCCGCCCCGAGGCAGCTTCCCGGCGCCCTGCACCGCGACGGCTTCCCGGCTCTGCGCGGCTTCAGCCCTCGCTTCTCTCATCTGCGCAGCTTCCTGGCTTTGCGCGCGCTCCACGGTGTCCGGGCCCTTCGCGCCTGTACCATGGCCTCCGTGCCAGCCCTGCGCTTCCTATTTACTCGCGCCCCGTGCGCTCTCTCCGTTCGTGTCCCGCGTGCTCTCTCTGCGCGCCGCGGATCCGTGAATCATGGCCTAGCTCACGTTTCCGCTACCAGTTTAGTTTTCAGTCTAAGTTCCCTGGGCTAACCTGACGAATTCCAACCTAGCTTACGTCTCCGCTTTTCGGTTTGGCTTCCCGTCTTTTGCTCCCCGGGCTAATCTGACGAACGCCAACCTAGCTTACATCTCCGCTTTCGGTTTGGCTTCCCGTCTTTTGCTCCCCGGGCTGACTTGACGAATCCCAACCTAGCTTACGTCTCCGCTTCGGCCTACCCCCGCGGCTTCATTTTCCCTAACTTATATTTTTCTCTACCCGGTACATTTCCTAGCTTTCTTCCAACAATATTTCTCTCTCATTTCTCCTGGCTTCTCCCCACAGTCCGTATCCAAGTCTATGTTTCTTCTAGCTTTCACTTTCGCTTTCTTTTTTTTTTTTTTTTGACAGGCAGAGTGGACAGTGAGAGAGAGAGACAGAGAGAAAGGTCTTCCTTTGCCGTTGGTTCACCCTCCAATGGCTGCCGCGGCCGGCGCGTTGCGGCCGGCACACCGCGCTGATCCGATGGCAGGAGCCAGGAGCCAGGTGCTTTTCCTGGTCTCCCATGGGGTGCAGGGCCCAAGCACCTGGGCCATCCTCCACTGCACTCCCTGGCCACAGCTGAGGGCTGGCCTGGAAGAGGGGCAACCGGGACAGAATCCGGCGCCCCGACCGGGACTAGAACCCGGTGTGCTGGCGCCGCTAGGCGGAGGATTAGCCTAGTGAGCCACGGCGCCAGCCTTCACTTTCGCTTTCAATCTTAAATTTCTCCTAGCTTCTCCCCGTAGTCCATATCTGAGTCTGTTTTTTCTAGCTTTCACTTTCACTTTCAATCCTAGCTTCTTCCGGCACCTTTTCCATCCGGCTTTTCCCTAGGCTGTTTCCTAGTCTCTCTCTCTGGTATTTTCCTGCTTCTTCCCTCCTAGGTTTCATATCCGAGTCACGGCACCATTATGTCGCTCCCCATTCGCGGAGGAACGACACTAGACCCTGCGCTGTTCTTTTGTCTGCTCGGCCCTTCCTGGGTTAGCTGCCATTCCCTCACTCGCGGAGGAACGACGCTGTCCTGGGTTAGCTGCCGGCCCCTCCACCTCCGTGGAGGGGCGGCACCCCCCCGCCGCTTTCCCCGCTTCCGCAGAGGAGCGGCACACTGCCAGCCGGCTCTCTCCTCCTTTATAGTCCTCTTCCACCAATCCCAACTCTGCTACCCACACGCTGAGCACGCTGCTCTCCTCCAATCAGGAGCAGGATCAGCTCCTGTAGCTCATCAGTCAAATTGGCGAAGGAGCTGTGTAGAAGTTTACTCCTCCCCAGCGCCATATTGTGGGAGAGCAGATGCATAGAATAAGTCTTAATTCCAGTAACTTAGTCTAGTCTCAGTTGCTCCCCACAATTCCCCAAATGGCTGAAACAGCCTGGATTGGGCCAGTTAAAGCCTGTAACTCCATTGAGGTCTCCCACATGGTGACAGGGGCCCAAGTTCTTGGGCTACCTGCTGCTGCTTTCCCAGGCTTACTGTCAGGAAGCTGAATTGGAAGTGGAGCAGCCAGGACTCAAGCAGAGGCTCTTTATGGATGCTGGTGTTGCAGGTGTTGGCTTAACCTGCTGTGCCACATCAGTGGCCCATGTAGCTTATGTGATTTACATATTATATTTAATGTAAATAACATTTCTTGTAATATAAAAATCACTTTTCTCAGATGTACTTTTTAAAAAAGGTTTTTTTTAATTTACTTGAAATGGAGACAGAGAGAAGGAGACACACACACATTTACAGAAAGACAAAGATGTATCATGCTAGTTCACTCCCCAATTACTCCCCAAGTGGGCAGGATGGTCAGGGCTGGTCAGAGCTGAAGTTAAGAGCCCAGAAATTCATCCAGGTCTCCTGTGTGG